CGTTTCGAGATCCGTCGCGGATTCGTCATCAGAGACATAGTCAAAGAGCAGTGGCACAAACGGCTGTAGCATTACGACTGTCGAAATTTTGAATGCGTACCCAGTAGATTTTGTGATTATTTATGCTGAAAACAGAACCCATGGTCATCTAGAATTCTGTACAGTGGTGAATGTGTTTCTAATTTCGAAAACATCTGGATTACTTTGCTGTAGTTTAAAGGAGGCGTGAGGCCTCAATGGAAAGCTTATGGTCGGTCATTCTGCGCTGCCCTATTTGGCACAAAAGCCCCATACCCTGCCCGCTGCCAAGCTCCTCATTCGTCACGTCCAGCCAAGTTATGGTAGCCTCGGACCTAACGTAATTTTTGTAATCTAAAACGCTATTCTGAATTACGAATCAAAGCAACACTGCAGTTCATTTAAAAACTAGCAGAGACGTGTATCCTTGTGAAACCCTTGTAGTGCAGACTCATAGACTGTCAGACAACGATGAAGGCTGGTTGAGATCCATAATTGGACAGGTCCCGGATTCGTAAAACTCCCTAGGGAAGATTCCTCCCTTACGAGTCTCATTACTCTCCAGGAAAGTAGAAGCTTGAAGTGGGTGATTAAAAAAAACTTAGAATAGGCGGCCATCGTATGGGGTAATCATCACGGCTAAAGTCGACCTTCTCCAAGTAACCTCACGAGATTATTACTGTTGCGTGATAGCTACGAGCGAATCAAATTTTTTCCGCCACGATTTTCGCACTAACAGGAAGGGCTAACGAAGTGACCTAGCTGCCGGGTGCAAGCGATGATGCTTTATTACTTCTAACCAGACCCCCCCCCCAAGGATGAACTTTAGAAAGTCGTCCAAAGTTAATTAACTACCCTGAAGTAGGCATTAGAACAGGATCCCTGAGGCCCTTCACTATGTTTCTGTACAAGATTTAGGGCATACTGTCAGAAAAGTGTTTGTTTGTAAAAGAAAACATTGTTTTTGCAGTAGTAGTAGCATGTGTTGCGCGGTATACTCTCACAATATGCGATGGATACCAGTACTAGGTCAGAACCTAGGCATGTGAAGCAATTTCAGATGTCTCAGCACCTTTTATGTCGGCCAAGGTTCTGCATACAGTTTATAACATGTCTTCAGGAATAAAAATAAACTCCAAACTATTAAGCAAAATAATAAACGCAACTTTACTATTATAATGAGCTGCTTTTTAAGTACACGCAGAGTTTTTGCCTTTGTTGATAGACATCTTCCTGATACAGTAGTCGCCGGCTATTAAGCCCACCAGGGGCCCAGACTAAATTGGGCTTAATAAGCGGCGGGCGTATTAACCGGAGAGTCCTACTTCTTGATTAGCAAACGCAGGATAGGCACTGTACATTACATACGTATTGTATTATGTGTAGAGCTTGATTATGTACAAGAAAAGAAA